TCCAAATTCATGATTCTATTACAGTGGTGCCTCGCTTAACGAGGATAATCCGTTCCAGCGAAATCGCTGTAGAGCGAAATCCTCGTTAAGCGGAATTTTAAAAGCCCATTGAAATGCATTGAAAACCCATTCAATGCGTTCCAATGGGCTGAATAACTCACCGTCCAGCGAAGATCCTTCATAGGAGCAGCCATTTTCAGTGCCTGTAAAGCGAGGAATCCATCCAAAAACAGCAGGGAGCCATTTTACACAGCAGGTGGCCATTTTGAAGCCACCAATCAGCTGTTTTAAAAACTCTGTCTAGCAAAAACTCAGTTCCCAAAGCAGGGAACCGATTGTTGGGGAGTGGATTTTGCCTATTAAAACATCGTTTTGCGATCGCAAAAGCGATCGCAAAACAGTCATCATATAGTGGTTTCGTCATTTAACGAGGCAATCGTTAAGCAAGGCACCACTGTATTTTATGACACAGGAGGTGGCCTTCTTTGTGGTGGCTCCCAAGTTATGACATGCTTTCCCTCAGGAGATCAAGTTGGCCCCTCCCTTGTATCCTTCCACTGACAGAAAGATGCACCTTTTCAGGTGGGCTTTTAACAATCATGACTGAGTCCCTGAATGCCATTTTTTAAAAAGTTAAGATAGTTTTTAATGTTTTACATGTTTTTAATTATTTAATGAAACATCTCCTCCAGGCACTGAAAGCCAAAACTAGTTACCCGATAAATCAGATGTGTCAAGAATGTCTGTTTTTTCATCTCCTTTTATTCTCTGAATAGACAGTTTTTGTCACTTGTTGCGCATGTTCTGTTTCTAATGACGTGTCACCCTCTTCTTTCCTGACCCCACTTTCTCCATTCCTTTTTTGCAGGTCTTCGGGACACCACAGAATTAGCCACGTAAGAACCAAAGGGGGTTATTCTTTTGTTTCTAGACCCATATCTATTTATTTATTCTTTAGTTATATGCTAACTTTCTCCCAGGAATGGGACTCAATGCTTTTTTTAAAAAATCCACCCACCTCTAGTGATTCATTGTATTATAGGATTACCATCCATGAAATATAATACAAACAGGTAAGGTGAAAAATGAAACAGTAAATAAATAAAGCCATTAAGCATTTAATTAAAACCACGAAGGGGGAACTCACTGGGTAGGGAAATGCCTGATGTTAGTCCAGAGAAAATGAGATTATATGGTGCCCTTAATGTTCTTCCCCATTGCTTCTGTTGCGTGCCAGGCTGTGTGTTGACACCTTACAACGTGGTTGGGTTTGTACAATCCAATGGGTTGCTATTTAAGCACACCTCCAGGTTCATTTCATATGCAAACATCTCTACATTCAAAGTCTACTAATGCGACGGCTTAGAAGGTCAGCAGGCAAGAAGCCTGTCACCAGAAGTGACCTTTGTTTGGGACAATAAAGAGGTGGGAGGCAGGGAGCCCTTGGCCGTCTCCCGGGCAAAGGCAATTCTTTCCCTCTTCTTTGTGGTGTTACAGGAAATTTGAATTTAACCCGAAGGATGGCATTGATAACCCGGCCCTGTCCTTGGCAGAGGACTCAGGTAACAGGAGAGAGGCCACTTTGGGGTGGGTGGGAAAGGGAAGGAGCCGCTGTTGCTTTTCACCCTGTTTGCAAAAGGAGAAGATCGCTCCTGTCAAGACAGCTTACTTTGCCTAATGCTGAACAGTCCTTCACTCCTGTGATCTTCTCATATTCTGTCCCCAAATAAAAAGCATAAATATCTGGCTTGAGTCCCTCTCCAGACCCGAACTCTTCTGGAGACCTTTTGACTTCTTCTGTTCCTAAGTCTGTGACATTATCTGTTCATTTTTGGATCTCTGTTTAAAAAAATTAATGGGCGGAATTTTTGTTGTTTAGTCGTTAAGTCATGTCCAACTCTTCGTGACCCCATGGACCAGAGCACACCAGGCCCTCCCGTCTTCCACTGCCTCCCGGAGTTTGGTCAATGTCATGTTGGTTGCTTCGATGACCCTGTCCAACCATCTCGTCCTCTGTCGTCCCCTTCTCCTCTTGTCTTCACACTTTCCCAACATCAGGGTCTTTTTCAGGGAGTCTTCTCTTCTCATGAGATGGCCAAAGTATTGGAGCCTCAAAAAAACAATTTTAATTGGAGGAATAGAAATGCTTATGATCGGGAAGCAAGGCTACCCAGCACCCTAACTGGACAACCGATCCACTCAAAGCCCATACAGCGAGCATCTTTCCACAATCGCACACAACACAGTCCATCCTCACAATGGAATAATAGGTCCCTGTTCACCAGGATACCGACTGATTCAGACACAGAGAGATTTGGATTCGCCTGAAGAGGGGTAAATCTAACACTTCCCCATTTCCTACAGGCTTTGGTGCAATGTAGGGGTGGATGAAAACTTACAAAGCTTAAGCCTCACAGTTCTTAATCTTGGAGGGCCCCCAGAAATGATTTCACTCTACATTTTTAAAAGATTTGTGGTGATCTGTTATGGAACAACCCCACTGAAGAAGATAACAGGGATTGCCCGGGCCCTGCTGGTCTCGAAGGAGCCTCCATAACAGTTCAAGCTTCAGGGTCCCAAAATGTAGGTCTGCCACTGGTGCAATGTGCTTAGATGAATATGGTGACATAAATGGAGAGCTCTTTCCGATGGAGCATTTGCCCTTTTTGAAATGCTAGGTTCTGCGCGCATGTTATCAGCATTTCCCCATAATCTCTTAATGTCCTCTTTATCATGCTTAGCACGATGCTTTCCCAACCACGTTTTTCACCTTTTCCTTCCTCTTGAAAGTTTTATTTTCAATAATAATGAGTACCGCAGGTGGAATTCAACCCTCCCCTTTGGAGGTGACCTTCATGGTGCAAACCTCTGATTAGAACCTTTTAATTAGTACTCAATTAAAAGGCGTCCCCCTAGCCCTCCTTGGGTGAACTGTCTGCACAAATGATTTTGCAGTTGGTCGCCTGATGGAAAGAAAGCTACCGGCACCATAACGGTTCGGTATGTGGTTTCCCCCCCACAAAGGAAACTTAGCCTAAATGTCTAACCTCTGCCCTCCGCAGAGCCCGAAGAAGCATCCAAGCCGCGCTTCTGCTTTCTGAAGAAAGAAGACGGTGAGAGTTTTGGGTTCTGGTTGCGTCAGGAAGTGGGGAAGAGTGGGCATATCGTGTGGCAGGTGACCCCCGGGGGGCTGGCCCACCGGAGAGGCTTAAGGAATGGAGACAGGATCCTTGAGGTCAACGGCGTAGACGTTGACACCATGGAGCACCATAGGGTAAGGCTTTGCTCAGAAGTGGGGCTCCGTCTGAATTTTATGAGATAGACTTGCCATGTAGGGTAGATTCATCTCCCTTTGAAACCCTGTTGCTTAGTGTGTAAGTCCCAACTAGTGTAGACCCATTGAAACAGTTGGGGATTTGTTGAGTCAACTCCACTGGAAGTCCCATTGATTCCGTGAGTACGTGCTGGGCAACAGGATTTTGGCCACAGAATGCTTGGGTTGCTGTGGCGGAGAGCTGAACTGTTTTAAATGAGGAGGGAGTGGGCATGTCGAGTGGGGTTTTGAGGCATCATGGGCTGTCAATACACATAATTAAAGAGAGAAATATCCCAAACAGCAGCTTCATGGGAAGGTTTCCGACAGGGAAAACTGCACAGGAACAAATCACCTTCCAGCCTGCCTTTTTGATTGGCCTAGGATAGGTATCAGCCCAGGATAGGCTTTGGAATTTGTTTTATGGGAAATACAGCTACTGCTGCTTCTACATCCTGCAACACCCTTCTAGAGCAGTGGTCCTGAGCCATTGGGTCCCCAGAAGTTCTTGGACAAGAACTCCCAGAAGCCTTCACCCCCAGCTGTGCTGGCCAGGATTTCTGGGAGTTGCAGTCCAAGAACATCTGGATCACCCAAGGTGGGGAGCGACTGTTCTAGAGCCCCCTTCGTTTCCTGTAGTGCGCTCTCTCTCTCTCTCTCTCTGCCTCTGTTTCATAGGTAGTTTGGAAGATCAAGAGTAGTGGAAAACAAGTTTCCTTGACCATTCTGGACGGGCACGCCTATGAGTTGGCCAAAGCCCTTGGCCGAGACCTTGTGCCACTCTTGCCTGCCCACAAGAGGCCACAGCTGTTCTGCATCACTAAGGACTCCAGTGGCTTTGGCATCAGCGTTTCGGCTCCGGAAGGTAAGGCAAGTTGTCTGCAATTTCTGAGTGATTTGTATTTCTCCCAAAGAAAGTCCCACTGAGGGGAAAAGCTGGAATTCTGCATTTAGAAAGCATGATGCAAAGCTCAGCCATTAGCACACACTCTTTTAATGGGGCATAACTTGCTTCCAAGACTGACCTTTTGAGATTTGGGAGAAATTCCCATTTCCGAAGAGAGATTTTGTGGCCTATGGACATCAGGTTCCCACAGGGAAGCCACTGTATTTTCTCCAAGTGGGGTTGCTCCTATTGTGGGGTTCCTTTCAGGTGTGAAGGGCACCTTTCGACTGTCTGTGCCAAGGGACGGGACGGCTTACAAGTCAGGCGTGCCAGATGGATCATGGCTTTTGGAACTCAACGGCGCCAGTGTGGAGAGATGGACGTCTGCTCAGCTGAACAAAAAGGTCCTTGGGGTGGGGGTGGAGGTGGTGGGTGCCGCTCCCTAGAGGAAATGTGAGGCAATGCATCGCCAGCCTTTTAGCATCCCAGTGATGTTGCCCACCAGTTAGACCTACAGAACGGAAGCTGCGTGGTTGTGGGAGATGTTGGCACTCCACTCCAGCTCCCATCAGCCCCTGAGAGCATGGCCAGGGATGATGGGAGTTGTGATCCAAAAATGCAAGAGGCTGGAAAATGTTGTTTCAGAAGACAGGCATATTCTACAACATAGACTGGGAGTTATTGCTGAGGATTGTATATGTTGGATTTTTGCCCTCCCTAACAGAAGACCTTAGGATTTAAGTTAACAGGCTTATTAGCTGAAAGTAGTTCCATGGCCAGATAGAAATAAATTCTCTCTCCCCAGCCTATTATAAATGATAACAAACAACACCATCACATTATTTTGATTGCTTGATTTCTTGCCTTCAAACCCTGAAACAAGAGGTAGAGATGCATACAAAAAAAATGGTGAACACCATGCTTATAGGAGTTTGCCACTAAAAATTAATGCCACGTAAGTTAAGCCAGCAATAGAACTTTAGTGGATACTTTAAAAGATAAGAGGTAAACAAGAGAAGTGAATTGTTGTTCAAATGCTATGACAAGCAACAGAAATTACTCTTGAAAGATTCAGATTCCAAGCTGTGGCGTCTTCTCCTCTCTGATGAGAGGCTGGCTCGAGAATCAGGATCCCTGCCCTTTCCCACCCACTTTGTTGTCTGACTCTGATTTTCAGCTGAGGCACAGCAGTAACCCAATGGGTCTCTTGGTGATTGACTCTGAGTCGCAAGCCTTCTATCGCCAACACGGGATTAAGGTCACGGCCACCATGGCCGATGCCTCCCTGGTTCCTTTCCAAGTGAGGAAACTGCATATGAGGAGGAGCCCGGAAGGGTACGGGTTCTTGCTGAAAGAGGAAAAATGTGGCTCTGGAAAGACAGGTAAGCCATCCACCTGGAGAAGAGCCAGAATTCAGACCCCCCCCCCCCCGTAGTGGCTTAGGGGTGGACTTTTCTGCATCTACCATCAAAGGGACTTGGAGAGAACACGGAAGCCAAGAAGCTGCTCAGTGCATCTCCTGCTTTCGTTGTTCCTTGTCTTGACTTGCAGGCCAGTTTTTGAGAGAGGTGGACAGAGGGCTGCCAGCTGAGAAGGCGGGGATGAGAGATGGGGATCGCCTCTTGGCTGTGAACGGTGAGATCACTGAAGATCTTGATCACCAGGAGGTGGTGTTGCACATCCGGGCAGACAGCAGTCAGGTGACCCTCTTGGTCATTGACAAGGAAGGAAGCACATTCTACGATTCGGTAGGCATTGGCTGGAGCACTGGGGGGGGGGAGCTGGATCCTCTCTCGAACGGGCTGGCCTTTTTCTTCCCCTCTCACATCATTCTTTGCAGTCGAGGATTCTTATTTGGGAGTGTGGTGGGGGTGCAGGACATAGCCACAAACCTTAAACTGACATGAAATGGATGGAGGAATGGATCTTACGGGTGGGGTCTTTTGGGAGTTTTAGCCCAAGGTGATCATTTTGCAAAGATCTCGTGCTCTACCATGGATTTGCAGAAGGGGTGCAAGATAACTGTGATTTTGAAGCATTCAGAAGACTCTTAGGTTTTGCTAGTGATGTCTCAAATCTGCTGGTATCAATCTTTATTTATTTATTTATTGCTTTCCAGGTTGGATTATCACCTCTCCTTTTCTATGATGAAGTAGACCTCCCAAAGGGTCCACGTGTCCCACATGATGACTCCTCCTTTTCCAACACGTTGCAGAAAAGCAGCCACCCGACCTTGATGTCGTCCCCCTGCCCCCCGAGTCGGGGCTCCCGTAGGAATCAGCCGCCACCCCAACAGCCCAACAATGGTCTGTCTACCTTGACAGAAAAGGTAAAGGGTGGCTCTCATTTGCACAATAATGTTTCGACATCTTGTCCAAACTCTTTTGCTTTTACAATTGACGTTCTCTCAAGAGCTGGCCTTCTCAAGCCGTAGATCATGAAGTGATCTTTTGGGGTGCGGGGACACTGTACAACCTTTCAAAGTGAGGGGTCACAGGATTGAATATTTCATCATGTAAAGACCCCAGAGGGATTGATGAATACAAGTACAATGAATATACATACTGGTAATGTTAGTCACACTCTTTTGCCCTTTGGGTTCTTTGCCCAGGGACATTGGCAAGTCTTTGAGTCCAAGTCCCAAGTCTGAGTCTTTGAGTCCAAGTACCAAGTCCGAGTCTTTGAGTCCAAGTCCCAAGTCCGAGTCTTTGGTAACAAATCCCAAGTCCGAGTCTTTGATACCAAGTCCCAAGTCGGAGTCTTTGGTACCATCTCCTGAGTCCCAAGCCCCAGGTCTGATTCCCTATTAAAAAGAAGCTTTTTTCCCCAGAAGAAAAGGGAGATGTGGGTGAGTTCTGAGTTGTGAATTGAGTCCAATACATTGAGTTGAGTCACCAGTAACTTAGGTCTGACTTGACGGCAAGGCCCACAACTCAAGTCCCCACCCCTGCCTTGGCCTCTGTAGGCTTGTCCCTCAGCCTTCAGCACTGCCTCTTATTCAGAATTCCAAGCCCCTGACCCAGTCCCGGGCCATGGGTTGGGCTCATCAGGTCTTTTGGGAGAGGAAGTCCAAAATTAGCAAGCGGATCCAAAGTCGAAAACCATTCATTTAAAGCACACTGTCACCAGCTCAAAGAGACCCAGAACCAGCTCTTCCAGATTCCTTCTGCTCCTGCTTGCTTGGAGGCGTTTTTGCTCCCTATAGGTGAGTGGCTTAAGTCAATGGAACATGTGAATCTATTGAAGACAACCCAACAGCTGCTCCACCTAGCCGAATGGACTCAAATCTCGGGCAAGTTTCTATCATAGCCTTACGTATCTAGAGATCCTTCCAGGAACCAGCACTGGGACTTTTTATAAACAAATCATGCGATCTACAGCTGCATAGGCTTATTCTTGAGCATATTCTAATTATAGCCTTCAAAGAATAGCCCGAGTTTAAGCTTCCTTCTCTTTGCTTCCCTCAGGGCCAAGATGGACTGAGCCAGGCGTTCTAGAGGCTGCCTAACCGTTGCCATTCCAGTTCTTAGAATAAGCAGTTTTGCACAAATTCCCTTCTGGTCACGGGATCCTCCATTCCCACAGCTTGATCTTTCCTGTCACGCTCATGGATTCTCACCCCTCTCGGAAAAAAAAATACATCCTGCATATCGTGGCAAGGAAGCTTTGAGGTCTGCTGGCCTCGATCAGAAATCGAATTAATGGTATTTAATGGGAAAAAAACCCTGATCATTTAGACTGTGACTTCAAAACACAAGAGGAAGCCTTGAAAGTCAAGGACGACTTCCTCTCCTCGCATGAGGCCTGGCATTTACGTGAAGAGGAAGCAAGCGGTGTTAAATAGAAACTGCCCTCTGTTTTGAAACATTGCAGTTGCTAAGAAGAGAGAAGCAGAAGGGACTGTCATCTGGAAACTCTGCCTTGTTGGTTTGAGGCATGCAAGAAAAGGACATGATGAATTACGGTTTATATTTATAGCCTGTGTTTTTAACAATGATGTGTGCGGTTCTCCTTCATGCTACTTTGTTTTCCTGGCAAGCCTGTGGGTTCGGCGGGGCTGAGAACAGAAGTGATTCTTCAAAGGCCATCACAAGTCCCAGCCAAACGCTCTCACCACTACATCACCCTGTCCGGGGATGGCCAGGACAATCACAAAAAACAAACAAACAAACAAACCACTCTGCATCCACTCAAGGTCCACCACCACGCTTTATTATTCTTCCTCCTCCTCCTCCTGAAATTCAAGACCCAATCCCAGAGTTCAGGTTAATCGATAATATTAAACTGGGCTGCACAGGAGGAAGATCAGTTGTATAAAAGCACTTTCAGAACTCCAGCGGGTTGAGCCCAAATTCCTTCAGCTGGTCTTTATACTCCAGATGGATGGCCGTAGCCTCCTTCTCCCAGCTGATCTTGGCGGTTTGCAGCTTGGAAACAACACGATCCAGGCTAGCCTGAAAACATGAGGAAGAAGCAATAGACCTTGTGGCCGTGAGCCCCTTGGCATGTGTGCTGAGGTCACGGAATGATAGGGGGGGGGGGTTTCTCACAGTTTCATGGCTGTGTTCCAGAAACACAAAGGGAACTCAGCAGCTGCTCGAGAACAGCTGCAAAACTGTTACTTAAGCCTTACTTTAGGAACGCCTGTTTCCAGGGCCATCGGTTAAATTAAATAACCTTCAAAATGATGGCAATAACCTTTTGAGCTGCACAGAACACTTCTTCGGGCACAGATACTAAAAAAAACAAACATCCTTTTTATTTAAAAAAAATGGGGGAGGGTCTGTTTCAACAGCTTGTATGAGAAGGTCTGACAGTCAAAGAGATCACTTAGTGCAAGAACAGGTCATGAGCCAAAGAAGAATCTACAGTATTTAGCATATCCCACGGTTGACAACAGTGGTAATACAGTAGTAGTATTCTGTTTCACTGAGCTTTTGGGAATATTGCTTCTCCTTCAGACAACTTGGCCTCTGTAGACTAGGACAGAGAGATATGCACTCAGCTCAACTCACGTGGAGTATTTTTTCATATTCCGTTTCCATCTGATCCATTTTGTGCTGCATCTCGGCAAGGGTGGTGTGCTTCTCCTCCAGTATCTCTGCTCTGTCTGCCCGACTTTGCTGCGCTTCCTCCTGGCAAGCAGCTGCCAAGCAGAAATGGGGAGGAAGGTAGACACATTAGCAGAGTTGTCGCTGTTTCATATCACACTAGCAATCATGGCTACCTCCTTGGGTATGCTGCAAACAAATTTTTTGTGGAATACCTTTCGCGTGGGCATGTCTGTGCTCACTACTGACCTTTCATGGCAGACATTATTTATTCTCAAACACTGACTGGACTCCATGGTGGAAATATGTCCCGTCTACCTATTCCGAAGACCCAAAGAGCAAGAAGCAATGGGTGAAAGCTATGAACTTGCTCTTTCTCAGTTTCCAAATGAAAATCAGTGACGACTAAAAATGGTTCGATATCAAGGTGATCCTCTTTAAGGCAGAGAGGGTAGGGTGTATGGGGTTTAATCCCGAGAGGAATACCAAGCTTTTCCTGCAAGTTCCGATTTTCTGTTTCTAGCCGCTGTATTTGAGTCTCTGTCTGGCGCTGAAGGTGCTGGTACTGGCGGATCATCTCTGGAATGCAAGTGGAGAGAGGAAATAAACAGATGGAAAGGCAGAAGGGCCACCTAGAAAAAGTGTTTTTTTTTAAAGCATTATTTCTCTGTGATGTTTGACAATGTAACGTAAGCTGAAGACAGAGAGATCTCTGCTCCCAAGGAGCTTACAGTAAACCTTTCAATAGAGGCACAGGAAGGAACAGGGGAGGATGATTTCTGTATGCAAAATGACAGGCACAGTTGGAAACTGATCTAAATCCATAAAGCTAAGCTTCTGTGACTCTTCATCACTGAGACGGAGTCCTGCAACATTCTAAGGGCCAGTCGGTTCTTTGTACGGCGAACTTTCACATATAAAAGCTGACCACATCAGATGCACACAGGGAACAGGGAAGTAGCTGAACTACTGTGGAGAGGAAACGGAGTCGGTGAAGTAAGGGGGAGAAGGGAGGGTAACTCAAAAATGGAAGTGACCTAGGAAAAATTAGTTCTGATCACAAGGCTTATCAGTGAGATTCCCTTAAGGTCATGCAAATGCAGCTTAAAGAGATGTAATGGGATTGCAAGGGGGTGTATAACATGGTGATGTTGACTATTTGCAGCATATTTTGAGTGATCCCATAAGAGGTGTGTGTGTGGGGGGGGGAGCAAGAGAAACGGGGGGGGGGGAGGGGCTTATGGGAGCTTTCCCTAAAGGATATACTGTAATGCTTATAGCAGAAAATTGGGAGTTTGCCATGAAAGGATGAAAGAACAGACCCGTTAAGATTGTCTCTTGAATAGTCTGATCTGACCCCAGGGCTATTGACAGAGTACATCACCCAATGTAAATACAAACAGACCTTCATAAATATCTTTTTTGTCTCCTTGAGCCCTCTCCAGTTCTTCCTCCAGATCAGCCAGCCTCTGCTTCAGTCTTTCGCTGTCACTCATTGCTCGCCTGGCAATATCTCTCTGAAGAACTACAAGTTGGACAGTCATATGTGATGCCTGTTTATATCCATTCCGTTAAGGCTTTATTTTGTTTCTGCCCACATCTCCCACTGTCCCGTCTCGACACAAGTTATCTTTTCTGCAGCTGTGGTGCAAAAGTGGTGGCAAAGCATTTCTTTTACTTGGGTCACACACAGGTGTGCCAATGTCCAGGTTACACAGATCTACTCACCAGATGGGAAGAGGGGGAAAAACAACTAAACAGAATTCTCACCTGTCTTGGGAAGGGCAGGCCTACATGGTTATATGAAGATGCTTGAAGCAGTTCTTTGGTCTATTAGAGACCACACATACACATGGAGTTATTAGTCATTTTCATGAAAATGACCCATCACATTGATGGCAAGAACAGGGAAGAAATTAGGAAAGGGACAAGATGCTGGCTCCTGGGAAAAGGCTCCCAAAAAGGGTGTTTAATGAATCTAAACCAATAGCATTCAGGTACCACCAGGTCAGCATGCTGCCTCCCTCTCTGGCTTTTGTGACCCTAAAAATTTCCCACAGAGACCTGTCCCTCTCTGTCCCTTGATTGCATCGGCACAGCACCCACAAGACTCTCCTCACCAAGGTGCTGCTTGAGAGTGTCCACTTCCAGCATTGTCTTCCTGTGCAGTTCATCATCTGCAGGGAGAGGGAGGTAGAGAGAGACGGTTCATCAGGAAACTGTGGAGCTCATGGCCACAAGACGTTGTGAGGATAGCCAACGGGGGTGGCTTTAAGAGGGGGCTGGATAAATTCAAGGAGACTGGAGTTGTCTGTGGCTGCCTCCAATGACTCCCCAGAGGCATTGTCCAAACTTTGCTGAACTACTCTTTGAACCTGCACACAATTCAGAGCCTGGCTAGATTTCCAGGGGTTATTACCCCTGTAGCATGAAAAAAAAAAAAGGGGGGGGGGGGGAGTCTGCATCCATCGCGCCGGCTG